TTTGACTCCGTTTTGATCTCAAAAAGAATTAAACTCGAGAGAAGTAAACTCACCTCCTCGATCACTTCTAAACACTTTCAAAGGCTTTCCAATTTCATTCTCCACCAAAGCTTTGAATTTTTTGAAGTGTGTAAACGCCTCACTCTTTTCTTTCATGAGATAAATCCACATAAATCGTGAAAAATCATCAATTAGTGTAAAAATATACCGATTTTGACCCTTGGTTACCAGCGTGATCGGACCGCATAAATCACCATGAATTAATTCCAATGGTTGTTTTGCTTTGTATGTCGTCATAGTTGGGAATGACTTTCTTGTTTGCTTGCCCACCAAGCAAGACTCACACAATTGATTCTCATGATCAAATTGGGGTAACCCTTTGACTAAACCCTTCTTGGATATCTTTTTCATTGACTCGAAATTGATATGCCCAAGTCTTGCATGCCATCGCCACGTATCTTCACTTAGTCTCGAATGAAGGCAAATAGGAACTCCAATTTGTAATTTTATTTTATAAAGGCGGTTTGGAGTTCTTTGTACTTTCATTAATAAGCAATTATCGGCATCGTGCATGGTCAAATAGTTGTCTTTCATTCGAATATCACACCCGGCTTCGGTTGCTTGTCCGAGACTAATAATATTGTTCTTGAGATCCGGTATGTAGCTGTGACAACCGTCAATTTTTGGCCAAGTCAAAGTCAACTAAAGTCAACGAGTCAAACCGGTCAACTTATCTAACCCTTGTACATTAGGGTTTCCATTATGTTTCTTATCGAACAACTCGCAATCTTAATACAAAGTATCACTTAGAGTTTTCACGTGTTCGGAAATTCTAAACCCTAATCAGGGCAAGTGATGAAACTACTCGATAAAACATTACTCCTTAACCCTCAGGGACATATAACAATCATAACGAGACTTAACGGGATGTACAAACCTTGCGTTGCAAAGCCAAACACTCAAAAAGGTCACAAAAGAAGTCTCTCCCAATCTCTTTCACTCTAACTTTCCCAAATCTCTCTCTCTATATGAGAAATCTCTCCAAGTGTGTGAAATCTCTCCCAAATCTCTCCAAGTACATGAAATCTCTCCCAAATCTCTCCAAGTATGTGAAATCTCTCCCAAATCTCTCTTTGTATGAGAAATCTCTCCAAGAATGTGAAATCTCTCCCAAAACTCTCTCTGTATGAGAAATCTCTCCAAGAATGTGAAATCTCTCCTAAATCTCTCTCTGTATGAGAAATCTCTCCAAGAATGTGAAATCTCTCCCAAATCTCTCTCTGTATGAGAAATCTCTCCAAGAACGTGAAATCTCTCCCAAATCTCTCTCAAAACCTCTTTTGAGTTTTTGTAATCATTTGGGGCATCCCGACACTTGACTTGGTGAAAAATCATTCAAAAAGGGGTGATACCTTGGAAAATAGCCTCTTAGGGCCGAAGTCCCTCTATAGGGACCAAACCCTCCTTGAGCCGAAGCCCCAAGAGCCAAGACCGCAGCCATCGAGCCGCAGCCATCAAGCCGCAACCATCGGACCGCAGCCATCGAACCGCAGCCATCGGACCTGGAGCACCGCATCCGAACTTCGCCTATGGTCCCTCCTGATGAGCCGCCTGTGGTACCTGCTCGGACCGCAGTCCCCTCCCCCTCGGACCCAATTCAGCGACCAAGCCACTCCGGTTCTAAGGCTGCTAAGACCCGAAACCAAGCCCTGACTTCGGATTTGCCACTTTCCACCCGGTTTTCGACCACGACTCCGTTTTAAGCCCGTTTTTAATTATTTTAACGAGAGATTTTCACCCAAACTTATATTTTGACATATAAGACCCCATATATTCATAAATTCAGCATATTTTTAGGGAAATCATTATTTAAGAATAAAATCTATTAAGTAAGATCTTGAGGTAGAGTGTTGACTTTATTTTAGTTTATGACACAAGCAACCACCCACACCCACTCCATGACCAACCCACACCCCTCCCCACACCCCTCCCCACCATACCTAGTCACTTCCTTATACTTTTCCATCAATCTCCAGCCTTTCCCACGTCCTAAGAGCTGGACAACCCACCCTCTCTCCTCACACTTCCTTCATTCTCTCATTTTTCCTCCAAGGATCACACTCCAAATTCTCTCACCATTCTCTCTCAATTTCGAGACTTCCAAGGCTGATCATCAAGCTTTCTTCCACTCTTGGTAAGTATAATTCATTCTTCTTATGATTATTACACATCCTTCTACTCAAAATCATAGGAATCTTACACAAACATCGTCACCTTCATGTTAGGTTCTCGATTCATCAAGGCATCTTCTAAGTGTTCTTGAGTTGAACACTTCTCTTCTCCAACATCCATCCTCTAAGAACACATAAAGTGAGTTCATACCCCTATCTTTTCATGTTTTTCTTAAGTTTTAAGGGGGGGAATACAAGTTAAAACACCAAGAACACAACTAAACTCATTTAACAGCCTTAATCAGAAAAGTTCAACTCCATTCACGGACTGTTTTGGTCAACTTAAATATTTTAGTTTTCAAAACTGTATTAGGTGCAAATAATTCAGGTTCATACCTTTAAAATGACTATTTTCACATCTCCATACAATTTTTCTACGATTTATGGTGATTTTTACAAAACTGCCTATCATTGCAGAAAAAATTCGGACCAGTCTGTGAATATGAACATTTTAACACAAGTTAAAGATTTCTTAAAATCATAATAAAAATTATGAATAAACTACACACATTTTGTGAACTCTCAGAATTTACGGAATCAGTTTTTAACTTCGTATGATTTTTCTAGGATTTTTCTAAAACCGTGTAGAAAGGTAAAAATCTAGATAACAGCTTATAACTTTCATCACACTTTGTAACTTGTTGAGCAAAGTGTTAATATTTGAAGATTTCATATTTTACATGTGTTTCTTGTTGTGGTATAATTATATAACAGAAAATACTCACTAAATTGTAAGAATCCTCCATTATTACCATTAGTACAAAAAAAATAAGGCATGATAACACATAGTTATATTTTGTTATACATTCGACTTACATAGAAAAGGGTCCTTATACATCACAAACAAACACGCTAGAACTATAATAGGTATAGTTTAGGTTCACTACCACTACCACCAATTGATAAACTATAATATGCATAATTCAGGTTCACTATCACTACCACTATTTGGTGAATTATGATATGTATAGTTTATGTTCACTACCACTACCACTATTTGATAAACTATAATATGCATAATTCATGATCACTATCACTACCACTATTTGGTGAATTATGATATGTATAGTTTATGTCCACTACCACTACTTGATGAATTATGATAAGCATAGTCTCGATCTTTGGTTTTTAAGACTACATTCTATCTAGCATTGTTAGTTTTCAGCCATAATTACTAAGTGTATATGCTAGAGTTATATAGAATTTAGTCATGATCGACTTAGAATTGGTGGGTCCGCTTTATTTCCTGTTCCTTGTTTGGTTGTGGGCATAGGGCACACCCATTACATTCGACGGTCTATTTAACTTAAATTTTATACAGCTTATATACACTTAGAGATTATAGAAGGAAACTATAGGAAATTCTAGGATGCACTATTTATTAATATAGAAACTTACGACTCACTCTTTAAGGAAAATATCAGATTTTCTTTGGAAATAGATCTCTATTAAAACTACATTACGTCTAGAATTGTTAGGCTTCAGCTATAATTGCTAAGTGTATATGCTAGAGTTATATAAGAATCTAGTCACAATCGACTTAGAATTGGTGGGCCCGCCTCATCTCCTGTTCCTTGTTTGGTTGTGGACCTAGGGCAGACCCATTATATTCAACGGTTTATTTAACTTAAATCTTATATAACTATATACGATGGGCGATTATAGAAGGAATCTATGGGTCTTTCTAGGGTTCATTATCACATAACATAGGAACATTATTTTCACACTTAACTAAGAAAATATTGGATTTTCTGGAAATCAAACTCTATCGCTTTTACAAGGAAAACAGTTTCTTCCTCAAACAAAACTCTTATGAACTCACCAACTTAATTGTTGACACTTTTTCAAAACTACTTGTATTCTCAAGAAATCAGTGAAACAGGAAAACATCAGCACTTTGAGGATGGGACGTTAAATCGTCAAACAGTTTATTTTGGCATCATAATGTAATTGATTTTGAAACATGTAAACATATACTATGGTGTAACCTTTTCAATTATATTTATGATGGTTGTATTTACTTTGAGCACTATTATACTCGTTGTTGTGATACTTTACATGAAGTCCTCCACCCCCGGACGTTTCCGCCATCCTTGGTCTGGGGGTGTGACAGTAGTAAATCTCCGTCATAAGCCTTTGTTGACCCCTTTTGCCTTGGAAAAGTATAACACCTTTTCCCTTGATTTTTACACACGAATTATCTCCGAATTTAACCCTCTCGGTTATACCTTCGTCAAGCTCGGAGAAAAATGACCGGTTTCCCGTCATGTGATTGCTCGCCCCGTTATCCAAATACCATACATCGTTGACTTATGAGTCGTATCGATACAGTATCACCTTCTCTTCATTTAAAAACACGGTCTCGTGTAAAAATACGGCCACATCGGTATCATCATATTCGACAAAATTACTTTCTTGTAATTTTTTAATTCGGTCCGGACATTGAGACGCGAAGTGGCCCGGTTTATCGCACCGGTAACAAATAATTTTGGACCGATCTTTTTTATTTTTATTTTTCTGATTAGGGTCATAATTAGAATTGGGCCTGCTGTTGGACTGGTGATTATTGGACCCGGTGTTGTTGTTAGGCCTGCCTCCTTGGGCCTGTTTTGTTTTAGACCCAGAGCCTGATCCACTTGACCCATTCGACCCACAGGATCCAGATCCAGTTGAGCCATTAAACCCGTGTGCTTTGTTCCCAGTCGCACTAAACCCGTTAACCTCCATTGCCTTTCCCTTTCTTCTCCAGTTCCGATTTTAAGCTCCACCATGCTCGACGCACAGAGCTTGATCTTTCTCACCACCGTAAGATTCTTATTCTCTGATCCTCTCTTCGTATGCCTTCATCCTGCCGACTACATCGAAATTGGTATTATTTAGGTCTAGTATCTGTTCCAGTGATGCTACCATATGAATGAATTTTCGTGGCAGCGACTTAAGGAACTTCTTTACTAGCTTGGATTCGTCGATCACAGATCCTAATTCCGCCCATTTTGAAGAAATTCCGGACAGCTTTCCGGAGAAACAGTCGACCGTCTCTGATTCGTTCATCCTGAGTTGATCAAATTCAACACTTAGCGTTTGAAGATGGGCCTCCTTCACACGATCAACCCCAATGTGTCGAGCCTTGATTGCGTCCCAGAGCGCTTTTGCAGAATCCATATCACCCATCTGCATAATCAGGGATTCAGGGATTGCCTAATACAAAAGCCCCATTGCCAGGTAGTTTTTCTCTTCATTCTCTTCTGCTCCTGGGTCAATGACACTCCATGCCTTATGAATTATTAAGACAACCTTCATACGCAGGAACCAAACTGTGTAATTTGTGGAATTGAGCATGAGACATTGAACTGAGGTCGATCCGGTTTCTTTCACAGTCACCGGAGCAACTCCTCCGCCTCCTTCTCCATCCGACATGTTGACCTGGCTCGTCAACAGGTAACAAAATTGATCTCACAGCCTTCGGTTCCTTTAGCTCTGATACCAATTCTAGTTTGTAAAACGTAATTGCAAAACAGTATTTAATCAAACAACTCTTTGATTAATTGGAAAATAACTCAAAACCAATAATGTTTTCTGCATAGTTCCATGCCTCGGTATATATATATATATATATATATATATATATATATATATATATATATATATATATATATATATATATTCCTAGACTACCAACTTGTAGAATAAGATTAGGAAACTTAAACCAACTTGCTTAAGCCCCAAGTTTACTTGGTCTCCAAGTCCTACTTGACTTAGGATTCCAACATATTCTATCGGAGTAAAGAAGGAAATTGGTCAGAGTATTCATTCATATTCCAAATATAATAAGATTTAGATTTTCAATTTGTCTTGGGTAATTCCATGTGTTTATTGTATATGCCCAAATATTTTGTTTTTAACATTTTTTAAAAACTTATAATCAAATAATATATATCAAAATCATAATAATTTAAAAGAAAAAGTTTTTGACCAAAATACCCTTAAATATCAAAACAAAAAAATGGACCAAATTACCCTAACCCTTGAATCCGATCACCTGAGTATATACATGCTAGTAAACCTCCATTGATGTTTCTAAGTAGATTGCACCTTTAGGGAGTTGATTCAATGTAGACTGCTCTTTTTGGAACACCAACGCCTAGAAAACCATTCCATGTATGACAAGTCCAGTTGGATGCCGCCTATAAAAATGCCTGATCTGGACAGATTTCCGTAATGTGGGTTTCGTTAATTTCATTTTTTGCTATTGATATGTAACATGTATTGATCCAGTTTGAAGACTTTTCCCTTGGTGATGGTTTTTTACAACTGTCAAGTGGAGTTGGTTGTTGTTTGTAATCTTGATGTTCTTCTTTGCTGGATAATCTCAACTTGGTCAAAGTGCATTGCTATTACTTGCTTTAAAGTGATGAAATTGGATTTGTATTAAGTCAAAACATTCAATCTTCATCTGATAAGAGTACTTTTCATATAAAATTGTTTGTAAATTATGTATTGTCAACGAACATATGCTTTTTTTTTCTAAAAAAGTGCTAAGGAAATCTAATACAACTAGAAACTTAATCTAATACAACTCTTTTGAATCAACTACAGAGATTGTTTATCACATGAAAATCCATCCATTCTAATATGGCTCACCATTAGATTCAAGTACGACTATTTTAAATCACGTACGGAAGCTTACAATCGACACCCTCTCTTACATTTACGGGCTAAACCCAACATAGAAAAACCATCCGCTTCTACATATTTCATACACTTCACTCTTAATAAGAAAAAAAAATCAAAGTACAATGCTATAAATGGATAAACTCTTCATCACTTGATTCACTTCTTCCATAACTGATATCTTCAAAGTACATCTTAGCATATTTGAGTTCAGGGGTATTTATGTCTTTATGGGTCTGCATTTGCAGCAACATCTTCTTCACTTGATTATTACAACTTCAAGCACCACAAGCACATTCAAACACCATCTCCTGCAAGATCTTTTACTGATTATTATTATTCAGTATCACATAATTACTAAACTACCCAACAATTCATAAAAAAATTGGTGGACGGGAATGGAAAAAGAAATAAAGAAAGACGAGGAACCTTTCACTTTCTGAGTTTCTTCTCATATTGATCCTTGTCCTTCATCATCATTTTAGAAAAAGTGTCGAACCAATAGAAAATAAATGTTATGAACAGGACCACTCATAAATAAGGTAAATTGTGTGAATGATAATTTTTGAAACATTTACTTGTTATACTGATAGTTTTTATTAAGTAAAAGGCATACATAAAACGAAACCATAAGTGTTTCTGGGATTTTACATACCATGATTTATCAAATTTCAAGAACTCACGAAGATTAAAAGAATTAACATCGAAAAATTAAATTCTTAAAAAGTAGTAACTGTCAAATTAATTTCACAATTAATGAAACATTAAAGATTTAAAAGTAGATGCTTACTTGAGAGAGAATGGTCGTATAGGGATAAGCCGCTAATTAACACAAATTTAAGTTTGTGGATTCCAATTTCCAGATACTCTTGCTTCCAAAGGAGGTAACAATTGTTGTTGGTTGTCGTCGTCTTCAATCTCACATATTAAGAGAGGCATCGCCTGAGAATAGAGACATCGTCGACGGTACTTACCTTCGTCTGAGATAGAATCGTACACGAGAGTGGGAGCGTGGAATTCTTGAGCGGGAATGTAAAAGTGAAAAAGAAAAGGGAATTTGGTTATTAATTTAGGGTTTTTTTTTTGTTATAAGTCAAAAGTAATCTTTGACCGATTTCAAGGTTGGCCGAGTAGCACCGATGTTGATAAAGTCCAAGTCTGAAATAAAATTGAAATAAGATAGATTTTATAAAAATAATTCTTTGATATTCAAGTTAAATGATACTTAGTCATTTCGATTTGTTTGCCTTATTGCTATTGTTGACTCAGTGACTCAAATATTTTCTAAATGGTGGATGCAGATATCATCCTTTTGATGTTAGCTCACGTTTCTAGAATCGAAAATCAAGATTCCATTAACGATGCGATAGTTAGTATGCTCGCTGATCCAAAACAGACAATATTTTTTAAAATGATTTTTTACATGACCGACACTATTTACTTAGACCAAGGGGTGTATTTTTTTATTAAGAGGTTCAGAGGTCCAATGCCCATCAAGGCTGGCAAGGGAACGCCAGGCAGGGCTGGTAGGAGCGCGCCAGGCCAGGCTGGCGCGCTGGAGCAGTCTGGGCCATGCTAATAGACCATATATTATCAAGTCCCCCCAGTCTGGTGTTATTGGTACGCGGCCAATGACATCGGACTGGAACTAGTCATATAAACTGTGTGTCGTCAAGTCCCCCTAGTCTGATGCGATTGGGTTGCTGACAATCGGATCGGACTAGATAAAACACCAATACAATAAATAATAAAGAGGAATGACCGAACCTCACCCACGAGAGACGTGGGGTTGTGCGAAGAGCCAAGCATTACTTATGCAGCTTGAGCTGACTTGATACTCCTTCATTGGGAGGAGTGCGAGCCGATCGGTGCGATGCAACGTAACTATTGTTGCGATCATGCAGACCGAGGCTGCTAAAGAGTGTTACGCGACACTGATGTCGATGGAATGTCGGACCGGGGTAGCTAAGGAGCGTAAGCTCGCCATTCAGTCTTTGAGACTGTTATTCGACACGATTGTTGTGGTAGTCATGCGCATATGGAATGTCACCGGTAACCATCTACACAGTCTGCATTAATAACCGTCTTGAGGGTCTTTCTTGCTTGGGCTACACCTAGCTGGATTCCCCCCAGTCTGATGTGGGTAGCGTAGGTAGCCGCGTCAGACTATGTTGTCAAACCAATAAACCGTGAGGTTGTTGACCATAATATAAGTGGAAGAGATTCGGAGAGCTAGGCGACTAGGTTGCTAGCGAGGGTCACGCAGTGAGACTATTGTCGATAGCCAGACAACAGAATTCTTGAGGGACAGGCAGTGAGGCTATTGATAGGAAATATGCCGTGAGACTGTTGCCGAGAGCCAGGCAGTAGAGGTGCTAAGGGATAAGCGGTGAGGCCAGAGGTATGGGTTGCGCAGCAAGACCGTTTCCGAAGGCCAGGCAACAGTGATGCTGAGGGATACACAACGAGGCTACAGGTAGGGTTACGTAGCAAGGCCGTTTCCGAGAGCCAGGAAACAGAGATGCTGTGGGGTACTCGGTGAGGCTGCATAGCAAGACCGTTCCAGAGAGCCAAGAAACAGAGATGCTGTAGGGTACGCGGCGAGGCTACAGATAAGGTTGCACAACAAGACCGTTTCCGAGAGCCAGGAAACAGAGATGCTGTGGGGTACACGGCGAGGCTGCATAGCAAGACCGTTTCTGAGAGCCAGGAAACAGAGATGCTGTAAGGTAGTAGGCAGCAGGGCCGATGTCGGGATGACCTCCTTGCTGGAGAGTAACCTCACTATAGCAGGTTGTAATGTAGATAACACCACATCGATCGTCCGAGCACAAGAGAACCATGATGACTGTGAGAGAGGAAACACCGAGATCATGGTGTTAGACGTGGAATAAGCTTGTGATGCGCGACTTATGGTGCACGACGACGCGCGACTTATGTTGCGCGACTTAGGAGAATAGCTCGGGCTTTGGCGCCAGCGAACATGGAGATGTCATGCGGGAAAGCCTCGCGTATAACAGATCGGGTTTGGCTGCTAACGATCGTAGATAGATCACGCGAGAGAGCATCGCGTGGAATGGATCGGGCTTGGCTGCCAGCGATCGTAGATAAATCACGCGAGAGAGCATCGCGTGAAATGGATCGGGCTTGGCTGCCAGCGATCGTAGATAAATCACGCGAGAGAGCATCGCGTGGAATGGATCGGGCTTGGCTGCCAGCGATCGTAGATAATCACACGAGAGAGCATCGCGTGGAATGGATTGGAGCATGTTGCTATAATGGAGTCGGGCTAAGAAGCCAGGCGACTCGAGGCGAGGGTACTGAACCTCGCAGGCGGAGCTTGCCGCTATAATGGAGTCGGGCTGAGAAGCCAGGCGACTCGAGGCGAGGGTGTTGAACCTCGCATGCGGAGCTTGCCGCTATAATGGAGTCGGGCTGAGAAGCCAGGCGAGTCGAGGCGAGGGTACTGAACCTCGCATGCGGAGCTTGCCGCTGTGATGGAGTCGGGCTCAGAAGCCAGGCGAATCAAGGCGATGGTACTGAACCTCGCATGCGGAGCTTGCCGCTATGATGGAGTCGGGCTAAGAAGCCATGCGACTCGAGGCGAGGGTACTGAACCTCGCAGGCGGAGCTTGCCGCTATAATGGAGTCGGGCTGAGAAGCCAGGCGACTCGAGGCGAGGGTGTTGAACCTCGCATGCGGAGCTTGCCGCTATAATGGAGTCGGGCTGAGAAGCCAGGCGACTCGAGGCGAGGGTACTGAACCTCGCATGATTGGGCGTAGCACCCCACAATCTATGTGTCTAGCTCGTGTGATCAGTTTGGGTTAAAGTGGAATGGTACCTGATGCTTTGCTGCCTCGCTAGTCATACTAATAATTGATGCCTCGGTGTCTTGACTGTTTGTCGAGGGCTATGCGGGGATGCTACTTAGAGCTGGATAGTGTAGCTACCGTCAAGTGGTGCGTAGCGAGACTGCTGTCAGGAACTGGTCAGCAGGGCCGTTGAGGCCCGGGCAGCGAGCTGCTAGCGATAGGTGAGTAACACGACTATTGAGAGTTGGGCAACAAGACTACCGAGAGTTGGACCACGCAGCTACTCTTTCAATCCGGAATACCAACGTCACCTCGGGGATACACCATCATTCATGGTGTCAGCTCTTTATGTACTTTAACTCTTCCCCTTGGGAATAAAAATCACTTCTACATAGTGTCGTACCAACACTATTCCCCCCCCCCCCCCCTCTTTTTTTTCTTTAGAGGAGGCGAAGACGGATGTATAGTCGCTGAAAGGCGAGATATATAGCTGCTGGAAAGAGCTAGGCAACCCAAGTACTAACAAAATTGGGTAGCACGGTTGGTGAAAGCTAAGCAGCGCGACTGCTGGGAGTCAGAAAAAGTAGCTGCTGGTGGTTGGGCTTTGCAGCTGCTGAGCTAGGTCGTGTCGCTGCTGAAGGTCGAGCTGTGCGACTACTAAGAGCTGGGTAGTAAGACTAGCGGGGGTCAGTCAACATGAATGTGAGAGTTGATTAGCGAGACTTCCCGGGATTGGTCAACACGGCTGCTGATCACCGCGCAACGCAGTTACTGATGGCTATTTCAGAATGCTTCACGAGTAGTAGTAGTAGTAATGTACTACTCTTCCCCCTCCTTTTTTTCTTGAAAACATTGAGATGGTCGGACCACATCTTATAGAATCAGATTTAGCTTGACTGGATTGGAGCGCACGAGCTTTGATTGATTTTTTTTTTTGAAGATGTCGGGTGAGTCGGAGCGGTAGTGCATATTTTTGAAAATGAATTTTGTTTAGAGCAATTGTGGCACAAGAACTTTATATTGTTGATCCTCGTCTCACAGAATTAGC